CACCCGGCTTTGAGGTGTACAGACACCCGCGATTTGAGGTGTACAGACACCTCGGCTTTGAGGTGTACAGACACCCCGCAACTTGAGGTGTACAGGCAGCTGCCTCCGCCCCGCGAGGTGTACAGACACCTCAAGCTTCGGCTGTACAGACACCCCAAGCTGTACAGACACCTCGAGATGCCAAGACTCCTCCAGGTGTACAGACACCTCAAGATGCCAAGACTCCTCCAGGTGTACAGACACCTCAAGATGCCAAGACTCCTTGAGGTGTACAGACACCTCAAGATGCCAAGACTCCTTGAGGTGTACAGACACCTCAAGATGCCAAGACACCTCAAGATGCCAAGACTCCTTGAGGTGTACAGACACCTTGAGGTGTACAGACACCTCGGGGTGTACAGACACCTCGAGATGCCAAGACTCCTTGAGGTGTCTGTACACCTCGGGGTGTCTGTACACCTCGGGGTGTACAGACAGCTGAAGCGGCGCGCAGACACCGCGAGGGGCACTTCGAGTGTCTGTACACCTCAGCTGCTGCAGTGTACAGACACCTCAGCTGCTGCGGTGTACAGACACCTCAGCTGCTGCGGTGTACAGACACCTCAGCTGCTGCGGTGTACGGACACCTCAGCTGCTGCGGTGTACAGACACCTCAGCTGCTGCGGTGTACATACACCCCAGCTTCTGAGGTGTACATACACCTCAGCTTCTGAGGTGTACGTACACCCCGCGCCGCCCCACAGAAGATACAGCCAACTGGCTGCCCCGGCTGGCGCTGCTGTTCACAGCAGCAGCACCGAAAGACAAGATCGCTACACATAGATCCCTGAGGCGGTGGCTAGCTAGCTAGCTAGCTAGCTAGCTGGCTGGCTAGCTAGCTGGCTAGCTAGCTAGCTAGCTAGCCACGGCCACCAGCCGCACGGGCAGGAAGCTCCACGCCTTCGCCATCCCCCTACGCAGCTAGCCAGGCAGCTAGCCAGGCAGCTAGCCACCTGGCTAGCTAGCCGCCTGGCTAGCTAGCCAAGAGAGTCCGTGGCTAGCTAGCTCTTCAATCGCTAGCTAGCTAGCCAGCCAGTCAGCTAGCCACATTGCTAGCCTCTCTGCGACCAACGCCATTCTAGAGCCACTCCGCCGCCTCGCTAGCTGGCTAGCTAGCTAGCTGGCTAGCTAGCTGGCTGGCTAGCTAGCTGGCTAGCTGGCTGGCTAGCTGGCTGGCTAGCTGGCTAGCTAGCTGGCTAGCTGTCGGGGGACTGTTCGTTAACCCCAAAGCCAATAAATAAACACATAACAAGTCAGCCAGTGCTGAGGGGCACAATATGCTGTTGCTGCTGCCGCTGCTGCTGCTGCAGCAGCAGCTGGCCCCGCTGTTCGTCCCGCCACTGGCATTGCTGCTGCTGCTGCTGCTGCTGCTGCTGCTGCTGCTGCTGCTGCTGCTGGGGCTGCTGGGCAGCGCCGGCCCCGCCGGGGCTGCGGGGGACAAGGCGCGGGGGAACCGCCGCGGCTGCTGCTGCGCGGGGAGGGAAGGGGAGACAAGGGCCAGTTGCTGCTGCTCCCGCTGCTGCTGCTGCTGCTGCTGCTGCTGCTGCCGCTGCTGCTGCTGCTGCTGCTGCTGTCAGTGTCGCTGCGGCGCCTAGACACCGCAGAAACTGCCAAGAAGAGACTTCTGAAGATGGGTGGGACCTGAAAAGACAGCAGGAGCGAAAACAGGCGGCCAGGGGACTCCCTGTGGCGCTGCTGCTGCTGCTGCGGCTGCAGCAGCAGCTGCTGCTGCTGCTGCTGCTGCTGCGGGGAACCGTCGCTGCTGCCCGCCGCGGCGCAGCCTGAAAAGATAAGATTGCGTGAATAATAACTGAAAACGAAAAAGAAATAAAGAAAAGGCAGGGTGTGCAGCACTGCAGCAAACTTGGCCGAGCCAGTGAGGAGCTGCTGCTGAAGGCCAGCCAGAGGCTAGGGAGCTGCTGCTGTGGGTTTGTAGGTTAATTCGCAACGCCTTAGAAATAAATAGACAAATGAAGAAGCTGCAAACACAAAAATGTGCTCGAGCGCGCGCTGCAGCAGCAGCAGCAGCAGCAGCAGCAGCAGCAGCAGCAGCCGCAGCAGCGGCGACCCCTCTCCCCGCGCCTGCCGACGCCGCGTCCCACCACCCTCCTTTTTTCCTCCTTTTCTCCTTTTCTTTTTATTTTCGTCTTTTTTTGAGTTGCAATTAAACTCAACACTTTAAAAAACAAATAAAAGGCATTTGTGGCTTTGCTGCGGTGTCTCTGGGGCGCCTCTCCACTAGCAGCTGCTGCAGCGCTCACTCTTAGTTAATTCGGCTCTCCGCTTTCTAGTCGCAGCAGTCGCGCCGCGCAAAGGGCCGTTGCTGCTGCGCTGCAGCAGCAGCAGCAGCAGCGCCAGTAACAGCAGCAGCAGCAGCAGCAAACCGCTGTTGCTGCTGGTAAGTGACTCTACGAGATCTGCCACGCGCCACGCAGCAGCTCTTGCTGCAGTCCTTCGCTTCTTTCCCTTTTTATTTCATTTTTTATTTTTATTTTTATTTTTATTTTTATTTTTTTCTTTTTTTCCGAAAGCTCTCTTCTTTTCCGCGGCTGTCTGCGCAGGTCACCTCAGCGCCAACGCGCTGCGGCTGCACGCCAGCAGCAGCACCAACTGCTGCTGCTGCTGCTGCTGCTGCTGCTGCTGCTACTTTTAATACTCCTGCTGCTGTTCTTGCTGCTTCTTTTCTCCGCGCAGCAGCTGTGGCTGCTGGACGTGCTGCTGCTGCTGCTGCTGCTGTCACAACTCTTCGGCTGAGTTGCTGCTGCCTCGCCTGCTGCCACTGCTGCTGCCATTGCTGCTGCTGCTGCTGCTGCTGCTGCAATGGATACAATAGCTTATCCTGACACTATAGAAGCTGCTTTTGCTGCTATACCGGCGTTGCTGCAGCAGCAACACTTGCTGCTGCGCCTCACGTTGCTGCTGCTGGACTGGCATCGCTGCAACTGCTGAGACAGCTGCTGCTGCTGTAGAGTCTGCTGCTGCTGCTGCTGCTGCTGCACCAGCTGCCACTAAAACTCCTGCTACTGGTGCAAAAGCTGCTGCTGCCAAAGCAAGCCCCAGCCTTCCCCCCGATAGCAGCAGCAGCACCGCCGCAGGCTGCAGCAGCAGCTGCTGCTCCTGCAGCTGCTTCTGCTGCAGCAGCTGCTGCTGCTCCAGTGCTGCGCAGATTTTTGCTGCAGCCACTGCACTGTAGACAGATGCATAGAGGGTATAAATATATAAGTAAGTTTTGCTCTTGGAGCTGCTGATAGAGTTGCTGCTGCTGCCGCTGCTGCTGCTGCTGCTGCGGCTGCTGCTGCGGCTGCTGCTGCAGACGTGAGTCCGTTGCTATGCATGCTGCATCCATGCTGCAGCAAAATGTGCAGCAGCAGAAGCAGATGCAGCAGCAGAAGTAGAAGCAAGAGCAGCAGAAGTAGAGGCAACACCAGCAGCACGTGCAACAGCAGCAGAAGCAGCAACACCCGCAGCAACAGCGCCAGAACGCGCAGCAGAGAGAGCAGCACATGTTGCAGCAGCAGCAGCAGCAGCAGCAGCAGCAAGCGTAGGAGCAGGGGCAGCAGCTGCTGCTGTTGTGTCCCTTACAATCGGCACCATGTGTCTTTCGCCGACAAGCAAAGGCTAGTGTGCACTAGGCCGTCAGCAGCAGCAGCAGCAGCAGCAGCAGCAGCAGCAGCAGCAGCAGCAGCAGCAGAAGCAGCAGCAGCAGCAGCAGCAGTTGTAGATATTCACTTGCATGCATGGATTGCTTGCGCATCCAGCTCCTTTTGCGCACTCGATTATCAAATAGAAACATTTCTTTTTGTCGAAAATTAAAAATAATTCATTTGGACTTTTTTCTTTTAATTGATTTAAATTTGGATTCCGGTGTATGTACACCTCCTAGGTGCATACACAACAACGAGGTGTACGTACACCTCGTTGCTGGGGTGTACGTACACCGCATTTGCATGCATTTTGCGGCTTTTTGCGCTTTTTCGCCGCTTAAATGCAAATTTTAAAACAATTTATATTTTATTTTCAAATATAATACTCAATAAAGTTGCTTTTTCTGTAATTTGTGCAAAATTTAGCTGTTTTGTTTATGTGCATGCAGCTGCACATATAACTGTACACAATTCCAATTCATGTTTATGCATATAAACATATGTACATGAAGTATATTTTGAACCTTTTCTCTATTTCATGTTTTGTACCCTTTTAATTACTTATATTTTAAAATAATTTATATATTTTAATTAATTTGTGTGTTTGAATGTTGGATGTATATACACTTGAGTAAACATGGCGCATATGTAAAGTCAGATATGAAAATACAAATATATTTCAAAAGTATTTACTTATTTTTATTTTCATATATGTGGATATGCAAGTAGCATTTTATTTATTTATATTTCAATTTGTGCAGACATGCAAATAGTATTTTGTTTATTTATGTTTATAAGTTAACATGCATGCATAAGCGGAAGTACTTATGCAAATATGCATTTAAATGTGAATATTATGCGCATTTTAGTGCACGTTTTTGCATGTTTACTCCCAAATAAATAAATATATTTTAGAATATATTTATTTAATCACTAATGGCTTTTAAAAGCAATAAAAAGTATTTCTAAATGAACTTTTGGGCCTATAGAGAAAATCTGGAAAACAGGCACTGGCTCCCAGGTGTATGTACACCCCAATACGCGGAAACCAGATGAATTCAAATTTTCATTTTTTGCATTTTTGAAAATACTTTTTTAATTCATTTCGGGATTTAATAATGCTTTTGATCTTTTAGACAAGTTTAAATAATATTCGAATCTTTTGAAATATATTTATTTAAAAAATGATTTAATACTTTTACAAATATGCAAACGAATATTTATGTGTACGAGTTGCATGCGCATGCAAGCCTACAATTTGAAATAAATATCTTTTAACATTTTTAATAAATGTATATTTGATTATTATTGATTTTA